CACTTTCTCAATGCAAATATTCAATTATAATCGCAATGATCTTTAAGAGCATTGATCGCCTTTTTAATAACAACACACAACCGACCCGTTTTCACTCGCTTAATTAGAAATAGTAATGAAAGTAAGTTTACTAAAATAAAAAAAAAAACTACATCACAACTTATGGAACAAGCGCGCCAGCATTGGTTTAAGAAAGTTAAATTTCAACTCACATAAAAGAAATAATACTTGTGAAAAGCACCAATAATCTTACAAGCATTTAAGCTATTGCAACCAACATTTTCCATCTGTTTACTTTCAGGCAAATTATTGCTACATACTTACATTTGACTGTCGGGATTATTGTCCTGATTCCGACATTTTTCCAATTTCTTTTCGATAATTTTTACTTTGTCCTTCGCCGGCAGCTCGTAAGTCTTTACCATAAAACGTATTTCTTGAAACAAAATGAAAATTTGTTACATTGTATTGAAACGTAATTAATTTGGAAAACTTACTGCGCACAGCTTCAATCAGAACTGGCAATTTATCCCGCGCCGCTACAAATAAATTCTCTGTTACATAGCTATCCAAATTTTCCTGCTCTTTACTAGCGGCATGCAGCACAGCTGCCAAAGCAATCTAAACCAGATATTTTTAGTTTAATACCTGTTTATTTGATCTTCAATTACTTACCTGAGATGGCGCGTATAGCAGGCAGGCATCGGTAAAGAATGTTTTTTCTATAAATTCATCTATATGTGGTCTCAAGCGTTCGGGATTTGGCATATTGCTTCGAGTCTGCAGTAAAGATAACAAATATTAGCAAAAAGGCTATAGTAATTTCTGTTTCACCGCACCTTAATGTCTATGAGGAAACCTTCAACTGGCCTATATGGATTGTGTACTGTTAGATAGTAATTAAGTTGTTGCATCATTAACAACTCATTTGAGAGTATAATATCCATTGCTTTATTGCGATCACCTTTTATATTGCCCACGAACTGGCCAATTGATACATTGAATTCCTCGACCTTACAAGCCAAATAAACACACGTGGCGCTGAAACCAAGTACCTACATGTATACTCAAATGACAGATTTATTTCGTATTATACTCACAGTATCTCCTTTGGATGATAATCCATTGGTGTGTTGTTCAGATAGAAACGTTTGAAATAATGAAATGCAGTGCCAACAACACATTTGGGCATAGGTGGCTCGAACCGGCGACAAAAGTCATTTAAATAGAGCTCATATTGCTTTAGTAGAATACGTTCTTCACTTGGCGAGAGGAAGTGGGAGTCACGTTGTTCCCGCTGCAAATGGAAATCGAATCGATGTCGCTCAGTGGATATTAGTTATTCTAAATTTTATGCTCACTTACATCCATCTCCACGCCATGTGCCTTAATGTAATTAACATTTTGTTGCAAACGTAATTCATTAAGTTGTTGTTCAGTTGAAAAAGTCCAGAATTTCTTCTGCGAGCTCAAAGGAAACATTTCGACAAACGGCTAAAATTTATTTATGCTGATTCTTCTTCTTCTTTTCGAATGTATACAAATTCAAAATAGAAAATTCGTAAACACAGGGTGGTATATGTGGTATGGAAAATTGGTTGTAGGCAGTTATTTTAGATTAAAAAAAAAAAACAGACGATAAGAAAAGAAAACATTAAAATTAAATAAATGAAAATAAAACGGGTGAGGTTTAGTAGCGCTCACAGCTATTTCGGGCTATTCCGTCCAAAGGGGTGGCCCGATCCAAAAAAAATTCCACACACTTGTAGTCAAGGGTCTAGGCAATATTTTAACACTCACTTTTGTAAATTTGGGTCACTAATTTATTTACAAATTTGGTTTGAAATATGCCCTTTTTTGTAAAATTCGGAAATTAGCATACATTTATCACTTCTATTCTCCTTAAAGCAGCCACTTCACCAATTCATTTTTGTATTCCCCTTCACTTTACACTTTACTCGATTAGTTATAACTTGCTTTACGACTTTAATATTAACCAATTAATCACAATTCATTCAATAAAAACACCTTCAAAATCACGCGTCTGACTCAGATCTCAAACTCCAAAATATGCAAAAGAATGAGAGACAAAAGAAGATAGGATATAACCCAGAAGCATTAAAAATATACAAAGGTGTTCTCTGCAAAAGGTGTTCAGCTCCTTTTCCTCGCAAAACAGAAAGGAGAATTCTACTGCCTGAGGGTTATAATCCCTAAGTGCGGCCGAAGGCCGCCTACGCAGATAGGAATCCTACGCAAAAATACATTTGTTAAGAAACTTTTTTTTTATAAAAACTTGTTTTTTCTATTTTTGATTAACTTTTTTTATTCTTTATTCAAAATTGCCCGATATCTAATTTGGCATAATTTCTTTTATTAAAAAATCCCACGGTTTCTGTTAGTTGGGTCATATTCCACTTCAAACTGCTCAGTTTGCCTAAGAAAATCCCGTTTTTCCCCCTTTTTCAAACGGTTCCCTAGGAGCCTGTGGGAGGAGTCCAAGGGGGCACCCCTTTTTAGAAAGCGGGGTCTGTCCCCTTTCTAGTGGGGAGGGTTTTTATAGTAGAATTACATACAACTAAACACTAAATAAAATAAAATAAACCAATATAATATACAAAATATGTTTTAGGTGCTATTTCAAAATGCATTCACCTATCATAAGCAAAAGGAATTCTCACGACCACCTATCCTGTTAAAAAACGGTATATACTTAACTTGTATTCTTAATAATTACTTTTTAGGACGCCTCTTTCACTTTTGATGTCAAGAACTTTTTTTCCTTTTCATTACTCTCTCCAAAAATTTCAATTTCTTTACATTTTCAACAAAATTTTAATGCAATAATCAAAATAAATTTATAAATATTTAGAAATTAAAAAAAAAAAAACAAAAACACAAAATTCATAGTGGCACATGAAAATGAGCACTAACTTTCATTACTTGCCATGCGCTCTGCAGGACGAGTTGCGTAGAATCGCCAACGCAATAGTCGCGCCTGGTAAAGGGATACTCGCGGCCGATGAATCGCCAGGTTCAATGGATAAAAAATTTTTACCACATAGCTTACCTAACACTGAAGAGAATCGTCGTATATACCGTCAACTTTTGTTTACCACTGAGCATCTCGAGGATCACATATCCGGTGTTATTTTACATAATGAAACACTTTACCAAAAAGCAGACAATGGCAAAACTTTCGGAGATCTGCTCCGACAACGCGGCATAATAGTCGGCATTAAGGTGGATAAGGGAATCGTGCCATTGCCCGGTTCACTGGATGAGGGCACCACCGAAGGACTGGATGATCTCTATTACCGCTGTGGTAAATATAAGCGTGATGGTTGTGACTTTGCTAAGTGGCGTTGCGTACTGAAAATCGGCAAACACGTACCCTCCTACCAAGCCATTTTGGACACCACGAATGTGCTTGCCCGTTATGCCTCCATATGTCAATCGCAGGGTATTGTGCCGATTGTGGAGCCAGAGGTGCTGGTCGATGGTGAACACGATATTATCAGGGCGCAAAAGGTAAAGAAGAAACTGCATTTAACTATAAGTAATTTCATAAATTATTCAATAAAGTTTACTCTATTTTTTTGTGTGAAAAAGGTGACTGAGACAGTGTTGGCTGCACAATACAAGGCATTGCATGATCATCATGTATACTTAGAGGGTACATTGCTGAAACCAAATATGATAACACCCGGACAGAAGTGTGCGAGAAGAAATTCACCGGAAGAAGTAGCTTATATAACAGTGCAGGGTTGCCTCAGAACAGTACCGGCTGCTGTACCAGGTATGTTTAGGCGCGACTGCTAACACCGGGCGCCTAAATTCGTGCTATGCACTGCTGCATGTGCAAAAATTTCCTCTATGCAATTTATGAAATTTTTGCATATGCACTTCTCAACTGCCATGTAATTGAACTTTCTTAAGTTTCAATTAGATGGCACTTCAAAGTATGCTCGGCCTAGTCTGATGCATCCTCCGGACACTACTTCCGGAGCATTTTGCGGTCTCTGCATGACTTACAAACCGTGCAGAGGTGGTAAACGAACTTTACACACAGGCCACAGTGCCTACCCACCATTTCTGAACCAATAAATATTTTTTTTTATAAATAAATACATGCAAATACTGGTCTCCCCTCTCACTGAGTTATTCAAGGTACGTTTATGAAGAAGAGAACTGTTAAAAGCCGCAGCAATAGAATCCACGGATCTAATACGCCAACCACCGTGGGATGTTATAGATATCAACGTTTTTATCAACTCAATTCTTCTCTATCTTTTCATTCCGACCCTTTCCTTCTATTGCCTTTGGCTCTATTTATTTATCTCATTTATATAAAGCAGGCCTGAAGGCTCGAGCTTTGAAAACGATAACCTGTCTCCATATTGCTTCTACGTCCCTTTGATCTTTTTTTTTTAGTAAAAACTCACTCTAATTACATATGTACATACTACGTAGTACGTACATAAATATATTGATAAATTGTTTACTTTGAAGGCATCGTTTTTCTTTCCGGCGGCCAGTCGGAGGAAGAGGCTACGGTACATTTAAATGCTATAAATAATGTCAATTTGAGGCATCCCTGGGAACTATCATTTTCTTATGGACGTGCACTACAAGCATCGGTATTGGATGCCTGGGCTGGCAAAACAGAAAACATTCCATTGGCCCAAGGTGAACTACAAAAACGTTGTAAGGCAAGTTAAATAAGGTTACAATCTGTATCTATATCTTTCAAGCGTATATGTAGGTAGTTTTTTTTTTAAATTTTTTTGAAAAACTTCAAAGGGTTAAACTAAAACTCAAGGGTCAAAACCTTAAAAAATATGAGTTGAAGGTTACTCATAGAAGGCGTACCACTCTCAAAACTACACTTTTAATGAGTTTTTGGAAAATACTTTAAATGACCTTTGCGGGTTGAGAGCTAGAGGATTACAATGTTACGAGAAAATATTGCGTGAAAAAGAAGAAGACAAAACCCTCGCTGAATTAAGCTTTAAAAATGATTTTTTTCATATTTCTTAATTCGATTTTTAACCTAACCAAAATCAAAAGGATTCGTTACTATTATAAAATAATTTGCTTCAATACCCATAAAATTTACAGGATTTAGTCAGAGGTCATTCCGTACCAATTTGCAATATCTTCAGTGATATCTTCCTGTAATTTCTGACTAAAACCTGAAATTCTGACCGGTACTGGTACAATAAAAAACTGTCAATTGAGATTGCTTTGGTTAAACCGCTAGACAATGAATGACCCTCAATTTGTTGCACAGTATTGTTTGCCTAGAAAACGCGAGTTTCAAGCCTTATCGGACGGCAAATATTCATCTCTTAAAGAAAGGTTCTCCAGTAATTAGAAATTATTTAGTGTTCATATTATTTCTTCTCGACAGTTATTAGTTGTTGGGTTTTCAATAGATGTGTTTGGTATATAAAGACCAATAATAACGGTAAAATACACGTATGTATATTATACAAATTATATATGTAAACCGATTGCATCAAATTTAATTTCTTAACGGTATTTATTTTTTTCAAAATATTACTTTACCAAAAATAATTTTCTCACTTAATTTTTAATTCGTAATCTCCAATGTTTTTTTAGTTTTTAATTATGTATGTACATATTACATCAGTAAATAATTAAATGTTCTCATTATCTTTCATTTCACAGGCAAATGGACTAGCTAGAGATGGTAAATACGTGCCAGGCTCTATACCGGCCTTCAAAGCTGACAAAAGTTTGTACGTCGAAGATCATAAATACTAGAACTTTAAAACGATTTAAGTTTACATACACACAACGTAGTACAATATATTACATATCGATGGCTGAGTGGAAGATCGACCTATCTCGGCAGCCAGTTCGAAAACACTCTATCTCAAAAAACTTTTCAAGAACGCCCTATTTCAGAATTCATTTCAAAAACGCCCTATCTCAGCTGCCGATTCAAAAACGCCCTATATCAGCATATTTTCAATACATTTTGAAGTGAGATAGGGCGTTTTTGAACCGAATTTTGAGATAGGGTGTTTTTCAATTAAATTCTGAAATAGGCCGTTCTTGAAAAGTTTTTTGAGATAGAGCGTTTTCGAACTGGCTGCCGAGATAGGTCGATCTTCCACTCAGCCATCGATATATACATATTTTTATATTTTATTTAAATTACTGTAAAGTTTGTAAGGCACCTGGCATAAAATTTAAATTATGACCAGTTTTAGAATAAAAATTGTATTCAACTGAATCGAAGAGTTTTGTATGTATTTCCATTACTACTTTAAGAACATAAAATACATGCAAAAAACTTAATAATCGGAGCCCTATAAATTTAATTTCGTTCCTTAACTTTTCTGGACTGGATGTATGATTTTGCACGTACGAAATAATTTGCTAATGTAAGATCCGCTCAACCAACATAGACATGAACAGCAAAATAGCTTTTTGGCTTTGCTCGTTATTTT